GGGACATGCCAGGGGCTGTCCCTGCCCATGCAGGACCATGCCACCACCCCAGGGGCAATTTCTGCTGCCATGCAGGAAGGGTACACCCCATCCAAGGCCGATTCATCCCTAAGGGTGTTGAAGGCCAGTGGCTTGTTTGCCTGTCAGAGAGGTCAATCAAAGCCTCCCCATCACATCTCTTCCACTCCCTTCGGTTTGGTGCCACCTACCCAGCTTTGCTGTGCTTGAGACAAAGGGATCAAACCAAAATCGGATCACTGGGTGGTTTTGTCTCCATCTCTCCAGGAAACACTCAACAGAGCAAAGCTGTGGCTGAGGGACCTGGAGAAGGAATTCCTTCCGGATGAAATTGTCATTGCCTTGGTGGGCAACAAGATGGACCTTGCTGCTGAGCGAGAAGTTGCCACCGAGGTGAGCGTCTGTGGTGAGCTCCCAGGCCCCCTCATCACTCCCTTGCCAGCAAGTGGTGGGGTTCAGCAAAGCTGAGAATTTAAAAGGCTTTCAGATGCCTTCAAAATGGGCAAGGGCTGGGGGAATAACTCTGCTTGTCTCCACCTAGGAGGGGGAAGAGTTTGCAAGGACCAAAGGCCTTCTGTTCATGGAGACGTCTGCAAAATCCAACCACCAAGTAAATGATATCTTTATGGCCATAGGTGAGTTGTGTGATGGCTGCAGGTGACAGCAGAGGCAGGTGAACCACAGGTCCCAAACCTCTGCTTCAAGGCTGTAAACACCTTCTCCCCTTCCATTACTTGTGCTTGCCACTGAGGTCTTCTTCCCAGCTGGTCCAGCCTGTGTCACACCCGGCAGCTGCAAGGGTCACATACACAGCAGTCCATGGTTTCTGTGAAGTGTGCCACACTTCTTAAGGCAGAAGGATGGAAAGATCCATCCCAGGATGCTCCAACATCAGAGGTGGATCTCAGGCCCTCTCCCAAAGCTACAATCTTCTTTTGCTTTAGTATCTAGTCTAGGTGTAATGGCATCCCCGGCATAACTGCTCAGTAGAGATCTAGCACGGTCACTGTGGGATGGTACTGGTGGCCACCAGTGACCCCCCTGGGGTGGGACGGGACAGCCATCACATCCCACCCCACCAGCAGGAGAACTGAACCTTTTCTCCCCTTGTGTTTCTTCCTAGCCCAAGAGCTCCTGCAGCGGGAACAAAAGAAGGCATCTGCCTCATCCCCGCATGGGAGGTCAACAGTTGACCTGGGGGAGAGCGGGGTGAAGAGGAGGTGCTGCCAGTTCTGAGGATGGACAGCTGTGGACCTCAGGCTGCACTGCCAGCAGTGGCTGGATGAGGTTTCCAAGAGGATCAACGACAATGTTGGGAGATGCAGAACTACAGGGGCAGCTCAGCCCAACCACTCTCCTCCTCAGAGGAAGGTCAGAGCCTGTCCTAGGGACACAGGACCTCTTCAATTCTCCAGGAGGTAAAGCCTGGGGGGCTTCTTCCACCAACTTTCTGCTACCAGAGAGGAGCATGACACTCTGGTACTCCTGCCACCAGCCCTGACTGGTGACACACCCTGCCCCAGCTGCCTGTCAGCTCCTCTGTGTCCCTTCCCATCCAAAAAGGGAGGGTTTAACATTTTGGAGTGAAGCAGGTGCATCCTGGTGGCTTTTATCCCCAGGCTGCAAATAAAGAGAACATTGCCCTCAAGGTGTTGGGTCACTGATACAAGAGCCAGGTCTGGGGCAGAGGCACCACCATGCCCTGTGTCTGCATTATGGGTTACTCTACTGGAACATGCCAAAAACATCTCCAAAAGCATGTCAGAACCCAGAAAACCCAGGGGGTGTTGGGCTCAAGGAGATACACCACCCTTTCCAGGTCAGCTGCAGCAACACCAGCATGGCCACAGGTGGTGGTCACCTCCACTTGTCCTGTCCACAGGGCAACCCAGTTGCTGGGTTTTTGAGGCATGCCTTCACAGAGATGTCAGGGGCAAGGCTTGGCCAGGCTGAGCTCGGCTACAAGGCAGCAGACACCCTTGAAGATGCTCCCCACGTTGAGGAGGGGACCACAGCACCCTCTGCCCAGGTTTGTCAGGCCAGACCCTGCTCCAGGGACCACCTCCAGCACCCCACACCAGCCAGGAGCACCTACCTGAGATGCTTCCCCAGGGCTGAGAGGTCCTCAGGACAGGACAGGAGCTCCATCCCAGCAGGAAAGAACATCTGCTGCCTCCTCCTGCCTAAATCCCCTTCCTCAGGGCAGCTGGGAGGCAGGGGTGTTGATTGCCACTCATCCCCTCCACCTGGTCCCTACCTCCTGAGATTAACCCTTCTCTTCCCAAACAGCCCCCAGAGTCCCAATGCTGGGCCAGGAGAGGCAGGCAGGGATGCTGAGGGCTGGGGATCACCCTCCCCTGTCCCCCTTTTTGCCCCTAAACTGGAGAGGGGATAAAATGATCTGCCTTGGTGTCAGAGCTCGTGAAGGGACATCGGGGGACATTGGGGGACACGCACTCCCCAAATATTTCTGACCCGGGCCGTAGGAATTGGGTGGCTGTTTTTGATGCTGGCACCATGGAAATCACAGAATCACAGAATCTTCTAGGATAGGAATTGGGTGGCTGTTTCTGACGCTGGCACCATGGAAACCACAGAATCACAGAATCTTCTAGGTTGGAAGGGACCTTAAAGATCACCTTGTCCAACCGTCAACCTGACTGACAAAAATAGACACCCACACAACAAACAAGGAGCATCATCACTAAACCATACCTCCCAGCACTACATCAACCCGTCTTTTGAACACCTCCAGGGATGGTGCCTCAACCACCTCCCTGGGCAGCCCATTCCAATGGCTGAGAACCCTTTCAGTGAAAAATTTTTTCCTAATATCCAGCCTGAACCTCCCCTGGCGTAACTTGAGGCCATTTCCTCTCGTCCTGTCGCCTGTGACTTGGGAGAAGAGACCGACCCCCACCTCTCTACACCCTCCTTTCAGGTAGTTGTAGAGAGCAATAAGGTCTCCCCTCAGCCTCCTCTTCTCCAGGCTGAATAACCCCAGCTCTCTCAGCCTCTCCTCATAAGACTTGTGCTCCAGACCCCTCACCATCTTTGTCGCCCTTCTCTGGACCCGCTCCAGCACCTCAATGTCTTTTTTATGGTAGGGGGCCCAAAACTGGACACAGTACTCAAGGTGAGGCCTCACCAGTGCCCAGTACAGGGGGAAAATCACCTCTCGGGGCCTACTTCCCACGCTGTTCCTGACACAGGCCAGGATGCTGGTGGCCTCCTTGGCCACCTGGGCACACTGCTGGCTCACGTTCAGCCGACAGTCCACCAACACCCCCAGGTCCTTTTCTGCCAGGCAGCTCCAGCCACTCTGCCCCCAGCCTGTGTCACTGCAGGGGGTTGGTGTGACCCAAGTGCAGGCCTCGGCACTTGGCCTTGTTGAACCTCATCCCGTTGGCCTCGGCCCATCCATCCAGCCTGTCCAGATCTCTCTGCAGAGCCTCTCTACCCTCCAGCAGATCAACACTGCCACCCAGCTTGGTGTCGTCTGTGAACTTACTGAGGGTGCACTCGATGAAATGAAGGTGTCAGTGTCACCCATGGGTGCTGCCGTGCTGGGGGGGACCCAAGGGAAGCTCCTGGGAAAGGGGGCCTCTGTGTGTGTGGAATAAACAATGCCGTGTATCACACAGGGAGGGAAGCGCTGCTGCCCTGCACACACTGCCCAGGCAGGCTGCAAAACTGTGGCAAGACCAGCAATTTTTGGTGGTGGTGGTGGTGGTCGTGGGGGTGTTACAGTTCCCTGCAACCCCCCCCCTCCTCCATGGCTGCGTTTCGAAGCAGAGAAGCTGGGACACAAGGGGGCTGAGAGGAGAAAGATATTTCTTGGTTTTTTTATTGTCGGCTTTGGCTCAGGAGCTCCGCTCCTCCCGGGGGGGCTGGGGGTGAAGGCGGTGGGGGGCACAGGCTGCCCCCCCGGGATGGATGCCCTCGCCCAGGGCTCGCCGCCTCCCGAATCGTCCCACCGGCCGGATCCCACGCCCCGTGTACCAGGAGGGGTCGATGTCTGGGTCTGTGAAGGAAAAGCCAAGGCAGCGTCAGGGAGTGATGCTGGGGAGGAGATGACCATGGGTTGGTGGGTTAGGGGGGGACACACGATGATAAACCCCAGGGGAGCAGGAAAAGGGGCTGGGGAGGGAGGTATAGAAGCTGTTGGGAAGGATGTTTCGAAGCAAACCTTTGCTTCTGCATGGTGACCCCCCCATTGTATAATCATAGAATGCTTAGAGTTGGAAGGGACCTTAAAGATGATCGAGTTCCAACATCCCCTGCCCTGGGTGGGGGACACCTTCCCAAGCAGAATCAGAGAATGCTTAGAGTTGGAAAGGACCTTAAAGATGATCGAGTTCCAACATCCCCTGCCCTGGGTGGGGGACACCTTCCCACCAGACCAGGTTGCTCTAGCAGGTTGATCCCCCACCTTCCCCCATGAAGCTGAGTGTGGGGGTGCAGCAGGTTGATCCCCCACTTTCCCCCATGAAGCTGAGTGTGGGGATGCAGAAAGGGGTGCAGGTTGATCCCCACCATCCCCCATGAAGCTGAGTGTGGGGGTGCAGAAGGGGGTGCAGCAGGTTGATCCCCCACCATCACCCGTGAAGCTGAGTGTGGGGGTGCAGGTTGATCCCCCACGAAGCTGAGTGTGGGGATGCATAAAGGGGTGCAGCAGGTTGAGCCCCCCACCTTCCCCCATGAAGCTGAGTGTGGGGGTGCAGGTTGATCCCCCACCATCTCCCATGAAGCTGAGTGTGGGGATGAAGAAGGGGGTGCAGGTTGATCCCCCACCATCTCCCATGAAGCTGAGTGTGGGGATGCATAAAGGGGTGCAGCAGGTTGAGCCCCCCACCTTCCCCCATGTCTCCTAGCATCGGGGTGCAAAAGAGGGTGGTGGAAGGGATGGGGGGAGCTAGTGGGGGGGAGGATGATGATGGCTGGGAGGAGTGTTGGTTGATTCCCCACCTTCCCCCATGAAGCTGAGTGTGGAGGTGCAAAAGAGGGTGGTGGAAGGGATGGGGGGAGCTAGTGGGGGGGAGGATGATGATGGCTGGGAGGAGTCCCTTACTCATGCTCTCCTTACTCCTGATTTCCATGGAGCGCTGGCGGAGGTGGCCGTGGGCGACGGGCAGGGTCAGGCAGGTGAGCAGCAGGCACAGGAGGCAGACGGCCCCCAGCTTCATCCCCGAAGCTCTCTCCGGCTGCGGCCCCTTCTTCCCCAAAATCTCCCAGTCCCTGGAATTCCCTGCCACCGAGAGGGGCAGCCCTCCCACCTGGCTGGGGGAGCAAAAGCATTTGGCTGTCGCAGAGAGACCCCCCCCCCCCCCCCCCCGCCCGAAGCTCTCTCCGGCTGCGGCCCCTTCTTCCCCAAAATCTCCCAGTCCCTGGAATTCCCTGCCACTGAGAGGGGCAGCCCTCCCACTGGGCTGGAGGAGCAAAAGCATTCGGCTGTTGCAGAGACCCCCCCTCTCCCTGGGCTTGGGTTTGCTGGGTTAAACCCCTCACAAGGGTGAACCCCATCAGGAGGAGGAGGAGGAGGAGAAGGCTGCAATGGAGGGGATGGGGGCTGCCACCCCCACCACAGCATCCCCAGGCTGGCTCTTCTGCAAAGGGCATGGGGCAGAGTGATCCAAGCTTGGGGGTTTTGCTGAGGGCTGGTACCTCTGGGGCAAACACCCCCCCACAAACCTCACATTAATTAAAATAGTTTTTTTTTTTTTCTCCTAGCATCTTAAGCCAGGCCAGCACCCTCAGCATGACTGTGGAGGTGGGACCCCCCCAAGCCCAGGAGATGGGGAGAGGGACCGTTGCTGAAATGTGAGGCTGGAGGCCCAGATATGGGCTTTGCTGCCGGATGCTGGGTGATGGATGGACCACACCAGCACCCACCTGGGGGAGGGTTGGGGGGGTCTGACTGCCAAAACCATCAGCACCCTGTGTAACATGCTTTATGGCACCCAGGCGACGAGGGGGACCAGGCTGAGCGATGGGATTAATCCACCTGGGAGGAAGGGCAAGGGACAGGGAAGCAGGAGAGCCAAGTTAAGCAGGACAGGGCAGAGATTTCTGCAAAGGAGAAGTTTGCAGGGTGCCAGGCGGGAGCCTGTTTGGGTTCCTGAGAGCTGAGATTTGCTTCCAACTGTTTACAACCCCCTTATGGAAGCCCCCCCTCACCCCCAGCCAGCTGTATAGACACAAGGACACACGTACAGAGGCGAAGCGGTTCTTGGGGAAATTATGCAGCAGCAAAAGCATCACGAGAGGGAGAGAAAAAGCAGTTCTGGCCCCCTGTAAGATGTTACTTACCACGGTGCAGCAAAGTGAGGTGCCTGCTTGCCCTCCCTCTGGACCCAGCTGCCGCTGTCTGAGCCGGAGTCCCCTCCAGCCTCCCTTTTTATGGCCGGTTTCCTGCTGATGTCAGAGGCCCCGCAGGGACCCAGCCAGGGCATCTCCCCTCCCTGCTGTCCCCTCTCATCAAATCAGCACAGGGATTGTCATGACTCAGAAGGGACCAGCGTTTTATCTTCAGATAGCTCGGGAACACGTTAATCCCTGTCCTCCAGCTGGTGTTATTTCGGACCGAGGGGAAGTTTTTTGGTTCCATCACCCCAATTACAAGGAGCCCCTTCCCCAATACCCACTGCAGGGTTGGGGGGAGGGGGGGGTTGCCCTGAATGTTAGGGTCCTGCTGCCACAATCCTGCTTGATGCTGGCTGCCACCACCTTTTCTCTTTCAACACCACCCCCCCAACCTTCTCCACCCCCCCAAAAAAAAGCCTCCTTTAAGGAAACCAGAAAATTAGATATAGAGAAGAGGGGAAGGTGACTCCTGGAAGGAGGGAAGGCTCCGAACCTCCTATTTTAAATGGGCTAAACAACCCCTGGGTAAAAAGCATCTGATGATGTTTGTTCTGCCAGACGCAACGCCGGAGGAGCCAGCTCGGGTCCTCAGCTTGGAGGGGCTGGTGGGGCTCCAAACACACGTCCGTTCAGTTTTCCAGGCAAAACTGGAATTACTGGGACTTTGAGGAATATCCCCGAACAAGGACATCTCTGTGTTGGGTGGGATGGTGAAGGCACTGTCCCTAGTGGGGTGTGGGTAGGGGGAAGGGGGTCTGTTTGCCACCCCTCACGTGGGGCTGGCATTGCCCTGGGATGGATCTCCGGATCATGCTGGGGCTGGCTCTGATGCTTGAGCACAACCACAGAAGCAGCATGGGACAGAGGGTGGTGATTGAGGGGGGCATCAAAGGCAGGGAAAAGGAGGGCTGTGTCCAGTTTTGGGCTCCCTACCACAAAAAAGACATTGAGGTGCTGGAGCGGGTCCAGAGAAGGGCGACAAAGCTGGTGAGGGGTCTGGAGAGCAAGTCTGATGAGGAGAGGCTGAGGGAGCTGGGGGTGTTCAGGCTGAGGAAGAGGAGGCTGAGGGGAGACCTTATTGCTCTCTACAACTCCCTGAAAGGAGGGTGTAGAGAGGTGGGGGTCAGTCTCTTCTCCCAAGTCACAGGCGACAGGACAAGAGGAAATGGCTTCAAGTTGCACCAGGGTAGGTTCAGGCTGGATATTAGGAAAAATGTTTTCACTGAAAGGGTTCTCAGCCATTGGAATGGGCTGCCCAGGGAGGTGGTTGAGGCACCATCCCTGGAGGTGTTCAAAAGACGGGTTGACACGGTCTTCAAGAATATGGTTTAGTGGGGTTTTTTTTATTGCTTATTTCTTATTTATTTTTTTGTCAGAGTTAGGTTGATAGTTGGACTAGTTCCCTGTCTCTTTTGAACTGGGGAGCCCAGAACTGGACGCAGGATTCCAGTTGTGGCCTCAGCAGAGGGGGAGAATGACCTCCCTCCACCTCCTGGCCACACTCTTCCCTACACAGCCCAGGATCCCATTGGCCTCTTGGCCACAAGGGCACATTGCTGGCTCATGGAGAGTTTACTATCCACCAGGACCCCCAGATCCTTCTCCTCAGTAGTGCTTTGCCCAAGCGAGCTGAAAGAAGAGACACTGCCAAATGGGTTCTAGGTTCTGGACACAAAGTTGGCTTTATTGAATGATTTAGTATAGACGTATATGTTACCTACACAGGCAGATGGGTCAGGAAACCAGCAAATAGCAACGTGGGTGACTACAGCCTGAACGACACCTTAGTTTGCGCTGCTGAGGCTTCACTGCGAGGACTTCTTCACAGGGTCAAGCATCCCAGCAGTTGAGTGGAAGGACTTGAGTTATGGCTGAAACCGGTGACGGCAAGAGGTGAAGGCTGAACCCTGACACCAGAAGGGTGGGTGCAAACCCTGTAGCGTTGGCCAGATCTTGGTGGAGCTCCCTTCTGCTAGCAGCAAGGTACGCACCCATGGTGTCTGGGGGAGTTTCTACAACAGCAGTGGTTTGCACTTACCCATTTCAACTCCAGGACAGAAGGATTTAATTTTAAAATATGAAACTGCTTTTTTTTTTTTCCAGCTGGGAAGCCCAGACTATGGACTTATAAGACTGCTCTGGGATGACCACAGGACTCATTTCTAGGCAGTGAGCAGTCTCTACTACTACCAAAGCCAAACGTACGTGTTACTTGCGTGAGAATTCACACTACTGCCCATAATTAAACTGGTTTTAGTTCAGATTCACAGGAATAGCCTAAAATAGTCCAGTCCAGGTGGCCATTGATGGGAAACTGCCAACATCACCGTGGCTGCGAGCGATACTCCCCGCATCGCCTGCTGTGGAGGGAGGTAGGTGGGGGCTATAAAGGACAGGGACCAGAGGGTACCAAGTGAAATTTTTTTACCATGAACCTTCCTCCAAAGTTTCCTGCAAGAGAAAGCAACCCTCTCCTGGTCCTGATGTCCTGGGCATGGGTATGGAGCCAGGCACTGATCCACCGGGATCAATGGATGCGGAGAATTAAATGCTGGAGAAAAACAAACAGCTTTGGGGGTTCTGGAGGAGGGCATTTCCAATGCTGCTTGCAGCTGGCAGGAGGCCCTGGGCCACCGCAGCCCCCAGAGGTCACCACAGCCCCTCCAAAGCATCAGATGGTCCTACAACCCCATTGTCAGGGACAGGGGACATGCTTATCCACAAAGCACCTCTTTGAGCTGACTCCTCCAGAGAAGTACCCATGTTCTGCCTGACACAGTACTTCTGGATTTGCTGGTACAACCTTGTAGGGACAGGGGACATCTTTGAGAGGTGGAAAACCAACCCAATCCTCAACAAGCCCTCTGGCCTTTCTTGCACCTTTCTTGCCACTGCTTCCCACAAGCCTCACCTCACTCATGTCCCCAGATGGTCACAGCTGCTCTAGGCACAGTGGCGAGAAGCCCCAGTGGATGTTTTCATGCAAAGATCTCCAACTCTAACCATTCTATGATCTGTTGGCCAAGTGCTTGCTGGGAGGGAGCCAGCGCTGCTCTCGCCCTGCTTTGCTGCTCAGGGAAGGGAAGCAATGCTCCAAGGGACATCTCAGGGAGTCGGGACCAGCTCTGGGATGCAAATCCCAGCCTGGAATGCCTGGGTCCCTGCTTTGCCTGGGGTACTCCAAGGACATCCTGCTCCTGCTGTCAGCTCCTGTCCCCACTCAGCACCGGCCTGGCAGAGAGCAAGGACAGGTCCTGACAGCGATGATGATGACCATGGCAGATGACACTGGCCTTTTGTCAAGGGTTGGGACCAGCTTTTGCCAAGTGAGGGCCATGTGACTACCCCGAGTTCTCATGCTGGAGAGCCACACTGATGTCCAGCTCCCTCCTCCCGCTCCACAGTCCTCTGGTCCCCTTGGTTGACCCAGCACCAAAGAGCTGCCCAAAGCTGTGGTCTCATGTCTGTGTTGTCCCATGACAGCCCCTGGCCATGTGTTCACACCCCAGTGCCTCGCTCCTCTCCCCAGCAGCTCCCAGCTCATGGCCTTTGGCTTCCCTCCTGTCCAGAGTTTCAGGGAGAGACGGGCACGGGGAGAAGGAAGAGCAAGCGTTGAGGGGGGAAGGCAGCGAGGCTTTGTGCTGAGGTCTTGTATCATCAATGAAATGCGGTGGCAGGAGGGTCACCCCTCTCCTCAGGACAGGTGGGTCATCACAGGCTTCTGCAAGGCACCAGAAGGAGAAAACTCAGCTCACTGCCGTGCCCGTACCACCCCGGGCCACCTCTGCCACTTCAGGTGACGAAGCCAGCATGCTTAGGGTCCCTTCCAGCTACCGCTGTGTGGAGGAGGACATGCCCCATCCCATAGGCCATGAGGGCAGTGGGAAATCAAAAAAACATACATCTTGTTTGGTGCCCCCACCCTGGGTGCTGCGTGGAGTGAGGACCTGCCCCATCCCATAGACCATGAGGGCAGTGGAAAATCAAAAAACCATACATCTTGTTTGGTGCCCCCACCCTGGGGCTTATGACATCCTGGACCTCAGGAGGTGATGCCCATGTATATATGTCCCCCATATGTATATATGCCCTCACCAGCCAGCATGGTGAGACCCATGCTGAGACCTTGGGGCTCCACCAGCTTGAGGAGAGGATGGGGAGAGACAGGTCCCTCTGTGCACACCCAGGGAGTCATGTCTCCCACATGGAGCCCAGGTCAGCCACCCTCTCAGGTGGCTGGGTTCGTACCGCAAAGAGCCGCTCCACTCTCCTGTTCTTTCCGTTGGGGTTTCTCTGTGTCAGCGAGCCACGGTACACCGAGTTGCGGTCAAAGGAGTCATCAAGACCTGTCGTGAAAGAAGAGAGATGGGCAGCAGGTCCTCATCCACCTTGCTAGAGGTTTCAGTTACCCACCAAGCCATTTGGGTTTTGCTATCCCCTGGTTACTGTGGGTTTGGGTGCGTGACTGCTTTTCTCTCTCTGGGATGGTGGTGGGAAGCCCTTTGACAACCAGGAGGCAAAAGCTGCTGCTACTTGTGTTTTCCAGAGCACCGTGTGAGCTGGGTCAGCCTGCCAGTGGTCAACTGCCAAGACCTCTGTTCTGGACACCTCCACGGTACAACAAAAGCCTAGGTTGTGAGGACCACCAAAGTCTTGTCATCTCTCCTTCTCTGCCATCAACCTCCACCAGCTGCACCTTTGCAGGCCCAACTTTGCAAGTAATTAGGTCAGCCTGCCAGTGGTCAACTGCCAAGACCTCTGTTCTGGACACCTCCACGGTACAACAAAAGCCTAGGTTGTGAGGACCACCAAAGTCTTGTCATCTCTCCTTCTCTGCCATCAACCTCCACCAGCTGCACCTTTGCAGGCCCAACTTTGCAAGTAATTGGCCTATGGGGAGGGCAGTCAGGAGACCGAGTCGCCCCATCACCCAGCCCAGGCAGAAGGGATTAGGCTCGCCTGGTGACATCCGTCCTGATCGTACATCCCTCTATCTCCTCGTGGGGCTGACGTGTCCCCTGGGCTGCCTTTATCTGCCTGCCCTTCACAGGAAGGAGAGCAGATGAATCCTCCTTAGCACAAGGAGAAGGGACCTTTCCACCTGCCCCCCTTCAGCTTGGCAAAAGGGACTGTTAATTGTCTGCACACGCAGGGGAAATGTGATTCCTTGTCTGCATTAAATGATCTTTCCCCTCTTCCTTCACTTCATCTTCCATTTTCTGGAAGGAGAGCCATTCTTTTTCTCTGTCAGCTTATGAAGCCAGATAAGGGAGAAATAGAAAAGTAATTTCCTAATGGGTCTTAACTGATACCGGTCAGGATGAAACTTTTCCGGTGATTGGCCCCTGACACACAAGCTACTGTGCCAAGTTTCAGGTCACCATCTAATTTGAAGCACTCCCTAGCTGCCATTTGTGATAGCTTGGATGTGGAAGGCCTCTTGCTTCCCACCGGAGACCAGTGGCTGAGGCAGGTGGCCACCAGGGCCAAGGATGCCTTCCCCAAGATGACCAAGCAAGGAAGAAATTGCTATCAGAAGAGATGATGGTCTTAGGCAAGACTTTGAGGTCCGACACCCAATGGGATACCACAAATGAAGTAATGCAGATGTCTCCCAGGTCTCTGGGGTGGGAGAAAGCAGAGAAATCCCTAGTTTTTGGAGGACTGAGCTAACTCAGCCTGACCTCCACTTTCCCATCACTGTCCCCTATCCTGCCAGCGGCCTCCTGCTTTCTAAGTTACCCACCACAGAAGAGGTTTCCCCTGCGGGTGGCCAAACAGGAGGGCATGAGCACAGGGAAGGGGACCCCCAATGCAGATACACAACGGGATGCAGAGAGAGAGGACTGAGCATCCCCCAAATCCCAGCCCATCCACCCACACGTCCCCACCTCCCATGGGCAGAGCCGCGGTCCTTACTGGTGATTTCGATGGGACAGTTGAACTTCCTCCTGAACCCCTGCAACCCGGGCATCACCTGCAAGAGAAGGGGAGCAGCCTGCTGTGGGGATGGGGTGGGAGGACAGAGGTCCCCTTGGGGACCACCACTTCAAAAGTAGCTCCCTGGAGACCCTGGTTGTCCCCAGGTTTAACGCTGTGCCACACGCACACTGGGAAGGTGCACTTGGCAGCACAGTTGAAATACATACTCACTTTGGCATCATCCAAAGGCTCCCCTGGACTGCTGCTGGTGGGACCAGGAGATTGGAGGCAGGCAGCCTGCGGGCAGAGGAAAGGCAGAGGTTTCTCTGGGGTTGCAAAGGAGGCAGACAACTTGGTCCTCCTTTCTTTGCATTTTCAACCTCTTTTGTTTAGCCTGGACTGATCCTAAGGTGAGCAGAAGAGGTATTGACGTATCCTAAGGTGAGATCAGAGGGATGGGGCACCTCTGCTCTGAAGACAGGCTGAGAGAGCTGGGGTTGTGCAGCCTGGAGAAGAGAAGGCTCCGGGGAGACCTCAGAGCAGCCTTCCAATATCTGAAGGGAGCTCCAGGAGAGCTGGGGAGGGACTCTTTGTCAGGGAGTGCAGTGACAGGACAAGGGGGAACGGTTTTAAACTGGAAGAGGGGAGATTGAGATGAGATACCAGGAAGAAATTCTTTGCTGTGAGGGTGGTGAGACCCTGGAACAGGTTGCCCAGAGAAGCTGTGGCTGCCCCATCCCTGGAGGGGTTCAAGGCCAGGCTGGATGGGGCTTGGAGCAACCTGGTGTGGTGGGAGGTGTCCCTGCCCAGGGCAGGGGGGTTGGAACTGGATGATCTTTAAGGTCCCTTCCAACTCTAACCATTCTGTGATCTGTGATTGCGCTGCCACTGTAGCCTGATGGACTGCCTGATGGACTATGACTGTAAAAATCAGGCACTGCCACGGTTGCCTGATGGGCTGCCTGATGGACTATGACTGTAAAAATCAGTATGGGAACTCAGGAATCCAGGCTGTGGTGCGTGCAGAAGCCCTGTGTGTCCTTCTGGCAGCCCTGGGAGTAGCTCTAGTCCCTAAATATGAAATCCTCCTTCAATGCTTATGAGGAATCAGCATTGTCCCCCATCCTCAGGGAGATCCCTGCTCATGGAGCCTTGGGGCAGAGTACCAGACAGGAGGGAGGGAGCTCAGGAAGCCCTTCACAGCGCCCAGGGACAGCAGCAACAACCTGGGGGTGCACACGCATCTCGGGGCTGGGACCTCTCCTGCCACCTATCTCCATGCTCACCTGCCCAGTTGACTTCTTCCTGGCTTTTTCCACCGGCTTCACCGTCAGCCCTGCAGCGGACAGAGCTGCAATTCGAGATTCGATGTCTGAGATCTTTAGAGGGAGGAAAAAAACCCAAAAATAGAGATGGAGGCTGAAGGATCCACCACCTGGCACCACTGGTCCAGCCAGGACCCCTGGCTAGATCCATCACTAGCCAGGGGCCTGGGCAAAGCAGCTCTCAGAGCCAAGCCCTCACCTCGCTCTCTGCCTGTTGCACCTGAGCAGCTGCTGAGGCCACTTTGTCCTCCAGCTCTGACAGCTCTGAGTCGGTGGTGCCGCTGTGCTGAGCCCCCTCCTCAAGCTCCTTCAGGGTCTTCTCAAGCCGGTAGGTCTTCCCAGCGGTCAGGTACACCTGAAACACAAGAAACACACTGCAGAATTAGTTTCCCTGGAGTCCTCCTTTCCTGGTGTGACCACAGCCCCAGATGCAACAGCTCCTGCCACTATTTTACGACTCGTGCCCTTGTGACCAAGGTGGCCAATGGCATCCTGGGGGGCATCAAGAAGAGTGTGACCAGCAGGTCAAGGGAAGTCATCCTGCCCCTCTGCTCTGCCCTGGGGAGGCCCCATCTGGAGCACTGGGTCCAGTTCTGGGCTCCCCAGTTCCAGAAGGACAGGGAACTGCTGGAGAGGGTCTAGCAGAGGGCTACAAAGATGATGAGGGGTCTGGAGCATCTCCCTTAGGAGGAGAGGCTGAGGGACTTGGGTCTTTTTAGTCTGGAAAGGAGAAGACTGAAGGGAGATCTGATCAATGCTTATAAGTATTTCAAGGGAGGGTGTCAAGAGGATGGGGCTGGTCTTTTTTCAGTGGTGCCCAGGGACAGGACAAGAGGAAATGGGCACAAACTTGAATATAAGAAGTTCCATCTAAACATGAGGAGGAACTTCTTGACTTTGAGGGTGGCAGAGCCCTGGAAGAGGCTGCCCAGGGAGGTGGTGGGGTCTCCTTCTCTGGAGACATTCCACACCCCACCTGGACACGTTCCTGTGCAACCTGCTCTGGGTGGCCCTGCTTTGGGGGTTGGGTCTGGAAATCCCTTCCAACCCCAAGTGATTCTGTGACTGCAGCTTTGCCTTGCAGCACAGAGAGTACCAATCAGCTCTGGCAGGGCTTTTCATCTCATTTCCTCCTTTCCCCAGGCTTTTCGAGAGCAATTACCGATGGGGTGAAGTGGTAAAAGGCTCAATGGGAACACAGAAAGGACCAAAACTTGGTGACCTACTTGAGCAGCATTAGCATCTTCATGATGCTTTGCGCTCAGAGGGGAGGCAGGTACCTGCAAACGAGCGCAGGCTGCCGTGTCCCATGGTGGGAAGGAGAGTGACTGGCTCTCCAAATCTGCTCAGTCCCTGCTGCTGGGTTTCCTGGGCGTAGGGTTCAGGATTTGGGAGTTTGGCTCTGGGTAGTTAACCAACCTGACCCCAGCTTTGCCCAAGAACTGCTCTGGACACGCAGGAATGAACCCAACCAAGAGCCCCAGCAAACAGACGTGCAGATGGAGCCCAGCACAGCAGTGGGGTGAACGTGGGAGCACTGACTGGGGATGCATAGCCAGGGGAAGCAGCATGTTACCTTTGCTGTCCAAAAAAAAAAGCGTAAAAGGATCTACACCAATAAAACCATTGATTTTACCATCACTTGCTTCCTCCTGGGCTACTACAAGGAGGTGAGTCCAAGCAAGGCAATTTAGGTTGGTGGTATGCAACCACCTGAAGTGACCGGATGGGTTGTGGCTACTGTTTTGCTCAATGATCCCCAAATCTTGGTACTACTGAGGCAATTCCTGCTCCTCTGTTCCTCACTGCTTTTCCTGGGCTGCCTGGCAGGAGCCCCCTGCATGCAGTGAAGCACTGGGCATCCCCTCAAATCACCTCCCCTTGGTCCCACACACCCTGAGGCTGTAACCAATGGTGAACCAAAGGTGCTATCTGTGAAGCCACTCAACCTGTGCATCACAGATAGCACACAATTTGTTGTTGGGCCATCAAACTCTCTCCCAGTGCCCCCCCACCACCCCGGGAGCTGGTGGCATCCCTCAGAGAGCAGAGGAAGGAGCCATCTGTGACTCAGCCCGGCCCCCAAGAGAAGGCAGGATGAGCACGCAGCTCCCAGGGCCATCATCTACCCACTGCCTTGCCCCTGTCCCACCGCTGGCCTGATGGCAGAAGCACTGAAGCCTGAAGTTCACACCCTTCCCAGCCCCATCCCCTCTCCTGGGAGAGGGGCAACCTCCAAACCTTCACCCAACCACCCCTCTTTCCCCCCCTGGGATGCTTCATTTGGGCAGAAACCAGCCAGGTGGTAGACCTTCTGAGCACGTTCTGCTCCCAGCAGCTCCCTGCTTTGATGTACGAGCTTTCCCCGAGGAGACACGAGCCACGGAGTGTGCTATAAAACCCTTCTCCCCATCACAGGACATTTCTGACAGTGAAACCCAACCACCCAGCTGGAGATGTAACTCTTTTGCCCCAGATTTGAACTGTTTCTTTGCAGCTTGGCAAATGGCACTGCAGATACAATCCGTTTCCCGGGGGGTGGAATCGATTCACATGGGTTTACGGGCAGCTGAAAAAAATTGTTGGTGCTTCACAGTCACACAAACCCAGCAAGGGATCATGCTCTAGATGTAAACTTATCACCTGCATGAGCCCATCAGCCCCAGGCACAAGGCAGCCTCAGCGGATGGATAGGTCACCTTATCCTTGTCCGTAAAAGCCTTGATGAGAAGCTTGATGAGAAGAAGTGGGGAAAAAAGCTTCTGTTGCAGCTGGAGCCCAGGGCTGCTACAGTCCAGCAAAGCAATGCTACAGCAAGCTGGGGACTGCACTTGTTCCCTTCCCCTAGCACTCACCCAGGGGCAACCAGGGACCAAGGCGAGGGAAGCCACCAGACAGAGCATCTGCACCGGCTGCTGTGCCATTTGTGTCGAGGGAGGTCATTCTCCTCCTCTGCTCTGCACTTGGTGAGGCCACAACTGGGATCCTGCCTCCAGTTCTGGGCTCCCCAGTTCAAGAGGGACAGGGAACTGCTGGAGAGAGTCCAGCATAGGGCAACAAAGAGGATGGAGGGATTGGAGCATCTCCCTGATGAGGAAAGGCTCAAAGAGCTGAGGCTCTTTAGCCTGGAGAAGAGAAGACTGAGGGGAGACCTTATCAATGCTTATAAGTATCTAAAGGGTGGGTTGAGGGAGGATGGAGCCGGACTCTTTCCAGTGGTTCCCAGTGACAGGACGAGGGGCAACGGGCACAAGCTGGACCATGGGAAGTTCCACTCCAATGTGAGGAAGAACTTGTTTGGGGTGAGGGTGGCAGAGCCCTGGCAGAGGCTGCCCAGGGAGGGTGTGGAGTCCCCTTCTCTGGAGATCTTCAAGCCCCACCTGGATGCTCCTGAGTGATGTGCTCTGGGCAGCCCTGCTTTGGCAGGGGAGTTGGACTGGATGATCTCTAGAAGGTCCCTTCCAACTCTGACAGTTTTGTGATTCCATGATTTCCCTTTTAAGACAGCCCTGGCCACCACCAGACAAGAGCAGACTCTTTAATCCCTCTGTGGTGCCCATCCCTTTAATGTTGAACTACCCACTAACAAGAATTTCTCTTTTTGTGGGGGGGGTTCCTCTGTATTCCCACCCCCCCTGCCCCGATTCCCTCCCTGCTTGCAGAAAGCTCTGGTGAAACCTTACGTTTTCTTCAAGCTCACGGTAGGCTTCGGCCACCTCTTTCCCATCTCCCAGGCTGGGGAGCTGCCCTTCGGGGAGGGCGCAGCCACCGTTGCACTGGCTCTCTCCGTGCAACGACTCACACACTGCTTTCTCCGTGGCGTTTATGGCTCTCAGGACTTTGGCCGTGATTTCGCTCAAAGCCTTAGCTGATGACCTCTGCAAACGCCCAGCACAGCCAAAGCGGAAAAAAAAAATAAAATAAGGATGTTATTTTAATGTGGTGTACAAAACAGCATGGGGTCGGGGGGGTGAAAGGGGCATCAGACCTTCAGGAGCTGGAAAAAAGATGGAGAAGCGGTAATTAAAGGGCTTACGCTGTTCCTGAAGGGCTCTCCACTGGAGATGGATGGGTGGCTAAAGCAGAGCTTTGATCTCAGTGGGTCGGGGGGGTGAAAGGAGCATCAGACCTTCAGGAGCTGGAGAAAAGATGGAGAAGCGGTAATTAAAGGGCTTACGCTGCTCCTGAAGGGCTCTCCACTGGAGATGGATGGGTGGCTAAAGCAGAGCTTTGATCTCAGCTCGTGCTTTCTGGAGGACAGCACGGCTGTGACAAAAGAAGTCGTCTCAAAAGGCTTGGAAAAGAGGTTATCAAGGGATGCTTTGCTTGCTGGAACCACCGGGGCTGTCTGACAGTAGCAGCACCTGGCCACCTGAAGGCCACTCAGTTACTCAGCAGTTAAGGTCTAATTGCAGCATATTGCTTTACACTTCAGCAGGCCTGAGCACGGATGCAAATAACTCTTTAAGTTGGTGGCGAGAAGAAAAAATAAAAAATAAAATCCAACCCATAAAATTATAGTATTGCCACACTGCCAGAACTTGGGACTAATGTCCCCTTCCCACCCCAATGAGCACCGATGGCAATAACGCTCCTACGTGCTGCCTTCTGCTTGATAAGGCACTAAGCCCACGTTAAAATAGACTGAAGAAACTCATCATCTCTCTCTCAACTGATAATTCCCTGGAAACCAAGGAGATGGGTGTGATATATGCACCGGCGACAAAGACAAACAGTTGTGTTTACGACTGCACGTATTTCCAGGCAAGCCCTCCTGCAGAGAACCAGCTAACTCAGCCCAGCTGATATTTTTATCATTTTATGGTGCCTTCATGGTACAGCAGAGGTTGTGGGGTTTTTTTTTCGCATTTTCCATTTGGAGCATGTGCTTTCATCGCCACGTTCCCCAGTTAGAAGACTTCCTCCTGAGTGGAGAGGAGACTTGCCTAAAAACAAACTCAGAATCATGCAAAATCCATGTGGTACAGCAGAGGTTGTGGGGTTTTTTTTTCGCATTTTCCATTTGGAGCATGTGCTTTCATCGCCACGTTCCCCAGTTAGAAGACTTCCTCCTGAGTGGAGAGGAGACTTGCCTAAAAACAAACTCAGAATCATGCAAAATCCATGATATAATATAAGGAAAGTTGCTGTTAAAAAAAGCCACGCTGACACTACAGCCTTTAACCAAGGCTGGTCCATCTACACATCACTGCAGGCACTTCTAACTCAACACTGCAAGAAAGTATTGGACACTTTGAGTGTTACAGCAACACAAAAAGCTAAATTTTGCTTCACTTCTCTAAATTGGGTTTTGCTGGGTTTTGGTTTTGAGCTATTGCACCCCAACTGGGTGTCTCTTTGCATAGGAGCTATTGTATAGCTCCTGTGTTACCTGTCTGCACGACCCCACTGAGGTCAACATCCATCACTGACAACAACCATCCCTGTATCCTCCCTGATTTAGTCACAGAAAGTAGCAAATCTAGAGAATCTAGGCTTAATTTTATGAGAATCAAGCAGTTCACGCTGATACCCCACTAACATCGCCTTGTTCCTCCATGCAGGTCATAGTTTGAGCCTGGCTGCTGCAGATGAGACATAGGGATTGAGTCATAGAATAGAACATCATAGAATCATCTAGGTTGGAAGGGACCTTCAAGATCACCTAGTCCAACCATCAACTCAACTCTGACTAGAAAACCATCACTAAACCATGTCCCCCAGCACCATGTCAACCCATCTTTTGAACACCTCCAGGGATGGTGCCTCAACCACTTCCCTGGGCAGCCCATTCCAATGCTTAATAACCTTTTCCATGTAAAAAAATTTCTTAATATCCAGCCTTGGCTTGGAGAGTTACCTTTTATTGTCTGCGCTGCAATTAGCTGGGAATGGTTATGAAGAAGATGCGCATCATTCAACCCATGAGGGGTAGTTCAGTCTGGCTGGGGCAATCATCCAAAAGCTACCCCATCTGATGCCATGGCAGAAGGGAGGGGATGAACAAACAAGCCATTAGAGTCCCAACAAGGAACTCTTGGGACCAGTGCCTCTGTCTGGTCTTGCTCTCCAACCAGGGGAGCGACTGCCCTGCAAGGCTGGGTACAGATGAACGCCCTGCCATGGGGATCCATGGAGGAAAAGAAGATCTCCAAAAGGCACCCAGCAGGCAGGGGGAGAAATCAGAGCTGTGCTGGGTGAGGGACTCTCTGGGGTGATGGGAAGGGGGCTACATAGATGCTGTGATCCCTCCTCCTCTCCCCAACCCGTGTCCCCACGGATCCCCCACCACTGTGTAGGGGACAGGAGCCAGCACAGCACTCTAAGTAAAGGAGATGCTGAACTAGCAGACTGAAAGCAGGACCGGGGATTTTGGGAGTCCCTCGCCTAGCGCAGGAGCACTGACAAGTCTGAAGAGACATTCCAGGCTGTAACAGGTGCCTGACAAAGGCTGCCAGTACTAAATCATCACCCAGCTCTTCTCCCACCCCACAACTCTCCTCTCCATAATGACATCCAGATCCTGAGACAACTCTAAGCAGATATACCTCTCCCTGACAGGCCTGCAAGACCTTTGGGACCAGTGCCTCTGTCTGGTCTTGCTCTCCATCCAGGGGAGCAACTGCCCTGCAAGGCTGGGTACAGATGAATGCCCTGCCATGGGGATCCATGGAAGAGAAGAAGATCTCCAAAAGGCACCCAGCAGGCAGGGGGAGAAACCAGAGCTGTGCTGGGTGAGGGACTCTCTGGGGTGATGGGAAGGGGGCTACATAGATGCTGTGATCCCTCCTCCTCTCCCCAACCCGTGTCCCCACGGATCCCCCACCACTGTGTAGGGGACAGGAGCCAGCACAGCACTCTAAGTAAAGGAGATGCTGAACTAGCAGACTGAAAGCAGGACCGGGGATTTTGGGAGTCCCTTGCCCAGCACAGGAGCACTGACAAGTCTGAAGAGACATTCCAGGCTGTAACAGGTGCCTGACAAAGGCTGCCAGTACTAAATCATCACCCAGCTCTTCTCCCACCCCACAACTCTCCTCTCCATAATGACATCCAGATCCTGAGACAACTCTAAGCAGATATACCTCTCCCTGACAGGCCTGCAAGACCTTTAAGAGACTTTACTTCTGATTCTTGGATGAGACTAGGAGAGCCTACAATCCAGGCTGTAACAGGTGCCTGACAAAGGCTGCCAGTACTAAATCATCACCCAGCTCTTCTCCCACCCCACAACTCTCCTCTCCATAATGACATCCAGATCCTGAGACAACTCTAAGCAGATGTACCTCTCCCTGACAGGCCTGCAAGACCTTAAGATTCTTGGATGAGACTAGGAGAGCCTACAAGAACAGAGGTCCAGGTCCAACACTCTGGGACTTCCCCATCCCTTGACACCCTATTTAAGCAGGCAGCTGAACCAGACAGCATCAAGGTGGAGATGTTGGACAGAATAGGAGATACATTACCACAGTGTGAGCTATAAGCCACAGAGAGCAGAAGGAACTGCAGATGGAGATGAGAACAGTACGGGTGGGAGGACACAGATTACCTTTCGAGCTTCTCTGGCCACGTCATCACTGGAGCAACTCATCTCTGGTTTCTTCACCTTCTTTTCTTCACGCTCTTCTTCTTCAGAAGAGACTTCTTTGTCACTGATGTTGCTGGCTAACTCCTCCAGCTTCCTCTTCAACTCCTCCTCCTCGACGTCGGGATCAAGTTGGGACTCCGGGGCTGGAGACTGAAGGAGCAGAAGAAGGGAATAGTGTTAGAGTCCCCTGTGGTGGACATTGGGGTATGGGGTCCAGACAGAGTCACCAAGACTGGCCAGTGGAGGAGCTGGAGGAGTGCTCCACAAATGGACTTTGCAAAGGGGACTTTGAGGTCCCTCTCTGCACCCATTTTCACAAGGAGCGGTCAGGGAAGCACTTGAATGAGCTTGCACTCCAGCTCCATGCCAAGGATTAAAAAATCTTGACCTAAAGAATCTCCCATCCATTTTTTTTGTTTTTCCTCCAGGAGAAATTGCCTTTTCCCCTCCTTAAAAAGATGTGCATGGGGGATCTGGGGCCAAAACCCACCATACTTTCATGAAGAACCATGCTGCTCTAAGAGCAGAGACCACAGCAACCCGAAGACGTGGTCCAGCTAGCTAAGGGAAGCAGACACATGAACCTCAGCTCCCTGAGGTAGCCTTCAGAGCATCTAGGTAGTTTTACTTGTGATAAGAAAGCACACAGCAAATTTTCCTGTAGGACAGATGGCATATTTCCACCTGGCCCTGTTATTAGGTGCAACTCATGTTTCCTGGAGAAGCATCCTTTAAACTCCCAGGCGCTGGAAGGGATCTCCAGCAGTTACTGAACTCGCTGTCCCTCGCGTTAAGACAGCAATACAATTACCTGTGTCACACCTGATGGGTTTTTGTCTAAGCTGTTCTTCACAGCCTTGAACAACGGCACCTGCAGCAGGCAATCTTTCCCCCAGGCAACCTATTCCTGGGCTCTGCTGTCCTTTCTGCTAGAAAACGGTGCTTATTAGTTCACCTCAGCCTGTCCCACAGCAGTTTAGACCCCTTGCCTCTACTCTGATCTGCCCTAGACAAAGAAATAAAGCATGGGAGCTTGCAAATGTGGACTTCTTCTACTCCCTTGGCCAGATTTACTGAGAGACACACCGAATAATTACAAACACGGCCGTGCCCGTTACGAATTTTAGAAAAAACAAGAAATTGCATTGTTTCTTCTGTGCCTAGGGGCCCTCTCTGTAATTATCATTGTCCATTCTACTGAGCCATCAGCTGCCAGAGCAGCTCATGCTGAAGGGCTCACACGAAGGAAAAGAAGGGTACCCAGTCTAAAATTAGAAACCCCAAATCGATGTTAAGCGATCTAAGTATTCACAGATTCTACATCCCTGCCCAGCTCTAACTTAATTTAGCTGTTTCCTTTCCAGCTTGACGAAGTGGTAAGACAAGGGCAGCTCAGAAGAAATGCAGAAACCCTTCTTGACTCAGAACTTACAGTCACAACAACTGGGTCGCTTTCCCGTATGTACTAATTGATTCTCTTCAACAATTTCAAATGAGCTGCCACAGCTCTGCAGATGTACCGACACCTACTTAACAATACTCCTGAAATTAGCCTTCCATAAAATATTAAATTGAAACCCCGTTTTCCTTGTGCAGAGGGGGCAAGGAAGGCACAAGCTTGAGCACAAGGGTTAAATTTGCTCGTTTCTGTCCTGCTATGCCATGTTTTCTAAAGCTCTCCATCACCTGAAACTATAGAATAGCCTCCAAGGCCAAAACAGAGGATTAAAAAAAGAGTCTTTTTGTCTATTTGGCTTCCTCCCTGCAATGCCAGCCTGTTTCAGAGCATTGATGACAAGGCTTGAGCACAAGGGTTAAATTTGCTCGTTTCTGTCCTGCTATGCCATGTTTTCTAAAGCTCTCCATCACCTGAAACTATAGAATAGCCTCCAAGGCCAAAACAGAGGATTAAAAAAAGAGTCTTTTTGTCTATTTGGCTTCCTCCCTGCAATGCCAGCCTGTTTCAGAGCATTGATGACAAGGGGAAGGGACCATCGCAGCCCCCTGCGGAGAGAGATTCCCTGGCTTTGCCCCCGTTACCTCATCAGAGCGCACCAGGATTTTTTCCTCCAAGCGGTTCAGCACGCGTTCGATTGCGGACATGCGTTTGCTGAGCTCATGAATCTGGAGAAAAGGAGAGAGAAAGAGAAAAGGAGTAGAGAACAGACCAGCCACCGCTGCCAGGGCAGTGAGAAAACAGTGTGACCAGCAGAAGAAAGCAAGCAGCAAGACACCGCCACCATGGGCTGAGTTAAAAGACATTAAAAATAACGTCTTAAAAAATGGCCCTGGCCACCCTGAAGAGCTCCAGGAGGTGCACAGCCTCTCCTCAAACCTGGAAAACTCAAAGCAATGCTGAACATGCCTCAATTCCCACCAAAGCAGCATCAGTAGCTTTGATGGGGTGAATATAAAACCACATCACCAGCTCCTCTCCGTCACTCGTGTGGATGGAAGCATCAGGCTGCTACAAAGCCATCCATCTCGTCATCATCCACATGCTGCCCCAAATCCAAGTCAACAGCAGCTGTTCTCCTCCTGCTGACACGTTGTGCAACCAGCTACTGCCCCACCACCACCCTGCTAATACAGTGCCGGAAAGGAAGAAGGTAAGAATTCACCACGAAAAATTCCAGAATAGAAAAAAGTAAAATTGGAAGTTTTTTCTGCCACACGCTTTGAAATTTTCTGACTTCTGCAGGCATTGATTTACCAAGAGGCTTGGCCCTCTCATTGCACTCACTCTTCCAAGTGAAAAAAAGAGGTGGCAAGGGAAGGGAAGATCAAAGAGAAGTTGCTCAAGAGACAAGAAAAACTTTTGTGCTTAAATCACTGAAAACATGAAAGGAAGCCTTTTTTCTTCCTCTTTTAGAAATTGTCATTTTGCTTTCTTTTTTTTTTTATTAAAAAATAAAAGTCTTTCTCCTTTGATCCAAACAAATAAAACACAAATGATGAGAAATACTGCCCATTTTATACAGACAAAACACTATCTCCCACATCACTCCTGTTCCGAGCGGCTGCCTCCCATTCAAAAGGGAATGGGCCGCAAATGCAGTAAGTAAATGCACTAACAAAGAGAGGTGAGGGCTTGGCTTTGTTTTTATAGCATTTCCATCCTCTCACTTATTTTTCTAGCTTCCTAGCGTTCAATTAATTAGATCTTCACAACCGTTTGGAGAGATTGCATCTGCTTAAGGGAAGATGAATATAAAAACCTGACACTGGGGAGAGCGGGAGCACTGTAATTACTGTCCCCAACTCAATGCATCTTTAAGCAGCATAAAACCCGTGGGCAGGAAGCAAATCCCATCCATTTTTAAGTGCTTTCTCCGCACTGTTCAAGGCATCGCTCCTGGTGACAATGAGAAGCCTGTGATGGGCCATCAGCTTCAGAGGAAGAGATGGTGAGGAACTGAGCTCTCAACATCACCGTAACACAGAGGTTCAGAGAGGTGAGAGCATAATGTATGGTTTAGCTGTTGACAGGCTACATGGGTAGGAGGTGGGGACCTTCCTTTCGTTCTCCTTCCTGCTTTTGAAGCGTTGGTGGTCACCCCATTAGGGCTCATCCTCATCATGGGGCTGGATTGCCCTGCATTGCTCTCTGCAGGGTAAAGTCTAGCAAACGCTAAATGCATTAAAACATTCAAAACATCAAAACACTCCAAACTTAAAACACAGCCCATAAGGAGGACATCATTTAGGGAAAACTATCACTTGCTGCTGGGGAGGGAAGAGAGATTGCTCTAGCAGAGGGGCTGCCTCCAGTCTCCCAAATACCCAAGACCTCCAACAGAAGCTTTATGTAAAGAGGAGCCAGGTGGGATCAAAGCTTCAGGAATCCAGGACCATTGAGCCCCCTTGATGTCTAGCAGATGGGCTTTTGGGGAGAAACTTGGTGAATCGATGCTATTCTTTGTGGCTTGGCCCTGTTCCTACCTGACTTCTAAAGACCTAAAGGCAAAGACCTGCAGTTACCAATTCAGGGCCTCTTTTCACATCTCATCAGGTTTAATAGCTTTGTTTGTTTTTGTTTTTATAATTTTTTTCTAGCACCTTCAGCTCCTGGGGTCACAGGGCTAGGGAACAGCCTTCTGCTTTTGTTACTGAAAAAGTTAATTTTCTTGTGTTTGGGACCGAACAGGGTATTCTCTCCAGAATTAAAGCAAAAGCAATTTTCAGATCAAACATATTTTGGCAAGCTTGCACCTAAGCCAGTTTTAGGAAGGAGGGTTAGAGTGATGCAGGGCAAAGAGCTGAGCTCTCCAACTCTTGAAACTTTCAGATGCCAACAAGGTGTCTACCAGGAAAACATTGCTTTTGAAGCCAGGCTATGGGATTCAATACAGGGTTAATAAACATGTTTCTGGACCCGACACCCCACAGGCCAACACTCTGCATTGCCAGAAGGCACAGCCTCTCAGAAGTGCAGCACCAGGGTGACCAGTCGTATTTGGTCATCCTCTCTGTGCCCTGGGATGTCCCATGAGGGGCTGGGATACCCCAGAAAGCCCTGATGATGGTTACAGGGTGACCAGTCCTTTCGGCCATCCTCTCTGGGCCATGGGATGTCCCATAAGGGGCTGGGATACCCCAAAAAGCCCTGATGATGGTTACATGACGTATCCTGGAAGTGCCTGTAAGCTCCTCAAGAGCCACCACTTTGCTACTCAGGACAATGCAGTCCTGAGCTCTCTGCCCCAAATCCCTCGTGGCCTGTCTCTTCCCTTGTGTCAACCTCAGCCCCTCCATCTCCTCCAACCTCAGGATGAGAGGATGGACACCAGCCTCTTGTGAAACTCTTCCAGCCCTGCCAACACAATAGAGCTGGCTAGCACCAAAGCCTGGGTGTTCTTGCCTTCTCTCTTCTTTGGGCTTGTATCTGGCCTCTCCTTGGCCAACAGAGACCGCGATGCACGCCCGCATCGTTCTGAAGTTAATGGTCCAGCAGAGAGCCGGGTCTCTTCCTGCTGGTTGAGGAGAGGGCTCTGTGGGAGGGTGGTTGCTAGCTGTAAACCCATCAGCAGCACAAAGGGCAGGAAGGATGAAGAGCTATTTAAGCTAATGAACGATGTTGGCGTAAGAGCAAATGGGGTTAAATTGGGAGTGAGGAGATGTCTTGTAACCATTAGAGTGACAGGGCTCTGCAGCAGCCTTCATACTGGTGTGATGGAGCAAACCACAGAGGATGCCAGGCTGGCCCGAAGCGAGACCTTGCCCGGCTGATGGAGGAAGTCATCTGAAGCACCGGTACGAATTTTGCCCTGTTTCCCCCCTGCAAAGCACGGTGCACATTTCACGCCTAACGTAGCGTGGCCTCATTAAGGATAACCAGCCCAGGGTCCTTCCATTTACCACCGACTGAAAAAGGAATGGCATTTACTAATTAAAACATGTTCCAAGAGGCAAGGCAAAGGAAAGGTTTCCCTACGCAGGCACATGAAATGTGGTGCCAGGGGATGGCTGTGGTTGTAGATTCCCCTACTGATTACCCAAATGGGGTCCAGGATATGCAAAATGACCAGCTGTAACAAGCAGCAGGCTCTCCCTGTGTCTCTGTAGAGTCAAACATCACTGCACATTTGGCAGTTTCAGAGGTCCGAGGGGTGCTTTTTACCATTCCCACCACCCACCGTTTGCAAAGGTGGCATCAGGAACGCCAGGTCCTCATTTGTCAATTAAAACACAACCTTGCGGCCTTTTTGACACCTTTTTCTAGACCATTCCCCCTATTATCATCATTCAGGAGAGAAACAAGACAGGTCGTCTCGACCCAGTCGTACTGGGGCAGGAACACTACACGCTGCCAAGGGAGAAAAGGATCTTGGTGCTCATTAAATATCCCTCTCCAAACCTTGGTCTGATCATAAATCACCAGCACATTTGAATGAAGAAAGCCTTTTTGGGGACACAGGAAAAAACCACGGGTAACTTACAGATTAATAAGGGCCAGGGTGGGAAGTTAAGAGCAGTGAAGGCAGGCTTGTTACTGCGACAGCAGCATGGGTAGAGTAAAGCACCAGTGCCTGGTTTTCTCTTTGCCACAGGTGTAAAAATGGAAGGGCTGGAAGGAGAACCTGGGAGAAGCAGCACAAAGACCCAGGTTCTTCTCCGTCGTCCTTAATGGTGCAGAGAAAAGTCTATTCTGCCTCAGCTGAATAAATGACTGAGCCTTAAACGTACCTTCCCAGGTCTCAGCCCTGCTCCCATTTCACAACCACTTTGGCAGGTCCCTCACAGCACAGGGGACAGGACATGGCTTGGGCATTCATCTTGCTGGTCCGACACAACCATGATGTGACACCTAGATAATACCGTTCAATACCTGAAGGGTGCCTATAGAAGAGCTGGAGAAGGACTCTTTGCCAGGAAGTGTAGTGATAGGACAAGGGGAAATGGTTTTGAATTGGAAGAAAAAAAGATTCAGATTAGATCTCAGGAAGAAATTTTTTACTATGAGGGTGGTGAGGCACTGGAACAGGTTGCCCAGAGAAGCTGTGGCTGCCCCATCCCTGGAGGGGTTCAAGGCCAGGCTGGATGGGGCTTGGAGCAACCTGGTCTGGTGGGAGGTGTCCCTGCCCAGGGCAGGGGGTTGGAACTCGATGATCTTTGATGTCCCTTCCAACCCTAACCATTCTATAATTCTATGATAAGCAAACTACTAGGTCATCCCACAGGCCCACTGTATTGCTCTGGCCATGCAAAATGGGTCCACCCTCAGCTTCTTCAGTTCCTGAGCTGAAGGGGAAGAGGGATCTTGAGCCCACAGAGACCTGAGATCACTCTTGGGTCCACACATGGGCAGCATGGGCACCACACCAACCCTGCACAGAAAGGGCAACGATTGTGTGGATACCTAGGGTGCACCAGCTTTTCTGCTTGTGCTCCACATCCATCCCATCTGGGAGACTGAGTACTGTGGTCACACCCCAGTTTGCCACCACTGCTTCTCTTCTCCTCTGAACCAGATGGTGTCACCCTGCACACCTCACAGGCAACAAGCATCGGTCATGGCAAGAGAGGCCTGGCCATGGGCTTGGTCTCAAAAGCTGTTTAGCAGCTGTTGGGTACCTGATTCCCGGAGTGGCTGACGTTATCCTGGGAGGAGGCTCTGCTCCGGAGTCTTGTGTGATGGTAGGCAGGGAACTGGGCTCCCTTCACATCCTCATCAGAGGTGTCCATATCTGCAGAGTACCGGGACTGGGGCTGCTCGTTCCAGGGGCTGCCTTTGGAGAGAGAAGGCTTCAGCACAAAAGGAACAAGACATTCATACCCTTGAGTTCCTTCCTGGACATTGGACCTTAAGACAAGCAAATAACGAGGCATTCCTCAAATCACACTTCCTATCCTTTGGCAGGAGGTGCTTCTCCAAGACAGACCAAGGTTAAGGACGGCTATGCTGGGCCATGCTGTAGCTCCATCCACTGTGGCTGCACAGCAAGCACCTAGCTCAGCAGGGTCCTGAGATAAAGGTGGCCCCAAGGAGCTTTTTGGGGGCTCTCACATGCCCCAGACAGCCAGGCCACTCACCAAAACCTTCTAGTCCCTTTCCAATTTTGTTGGAGCCCTTTCATGAATTGTCCGGGTGCTGGAAGGTGTTTAGCTCAGCTGGAGAGGTACCAGTCCAGAATGCAACATTTAAAAGAGCAGAAAGTCTCCTTTTTAAAGGAGAATTTGAAATGAGACACCAAAAAAAAAAACAATGAGAGAAAGTGGAATTAACAAGCCAGGGGGCCCTGCTGCTCTGTTGCCCCAGAAGGGCTGAGAGTGAGAAGTTAAACAGTGCACAGTAATGTTTACCCAGCATTTCCTAGTGCCCTGAAAATGCAACCAGGCAGTTGGACACCCAGAAGGATATATTCTACACCTGCACTCCCACAAGCCAATGTCCAACCCTCCTGGCTCTGCTGTCACAGCAGGAAACACAGTACTAGTAAAAGGCAAATTCTGCACCCTCATTTGCTAGGGCGTTTATAGACTCACAAAGCTACAGACCCTGTAGCTACTTAACAATCCCCAGCTCTTGCTTCCAGTTCTCAACCAGTCTCACTCCAGTTCAAATCCCCTTAAAACTGTGAGCTTTCTGCACCCACACCATCCTTTGGCAAGGAGTTCAACTCATCTGTTAGTGCCTGTAGGAGGAAACACATCCTGTTGTTTCCTGTAGTGTCATTTGATTGTATTTTATTTCTACCCTGACCTCTAGATATGAAAGGGATGCACACCTTAAGAACAACCCCTCTGGCTTTGAGAAATTAGTTTGTTGGGAACAAGACCAGGCCATTACAAAGTACTGTCTCCAGCCGATTCCTTCATGAGAAAAAAAACAAAAAACCACTTTTGCAGATGAGTATTTTATCTTGACACTCAAGCTTTTTAGTGGCTTTGAGGTTGTTCAAAAAAAATAAAGACATTTTCATGTTGGTCCGAGTCTTGCAGCCACTTTTCCTGAGATAGAAGAGGAGCCTGACCAGAGACACCTACCAGGTTTTGCATTTCTTTCTAGGCTTCTTCTCCGCGAGTTGACGGTGAGCCGAACCTCTGTGCTGAAGTGCTGCTCCGGAGGGCTCACGCCTGGTCCCTGCTCCTGCAAGATGTGGTGGAAGACCAGATCTGCCTCTGCAATCCTGGACTCCTTCTGGGAGGCACCTTCAGCCGAGTTGGAGAAATCTGGGAAGGACTGAAAGACAAGGATTGCAGCTGAGCAGCTGCCCACAGGGTCTCCCTGTCTCTCCTGACCTTCACTCACAGCTTCTAGCTTTATCCTCCAACACGTGCAGGGATTGACCTTTTGTAATTTTCCAATAATCCATTTAAAAGCCCAATTTATCTTGCTGATGAACCCTTAGCAATACTTCCCCACCACTGCCAGGGGGCACTGTTAATTTTTAGGAGAACTGGGAACAGCTGTCCCTTCAGCTAAGCTGCTAAAAGCTGTAGTCTTTAAAAAAAAAACAAAAACCCACCATACCCTTTTGCTTCTTCAAACAATACCCACCTCCTGCCCCTCAAATAATCTGCAACCGATAAATCTAATTTGGATGATTGGGGCAGCCCTCCCTAGACTCTAGCTGAATTCTGTTGCATAAAGATGAGCTTAGATAAAAAGGAATAAATCTACTCGTTTCCTCAAAATTCGTATCAATTTACATGGAATGGCATGTATTTGGTTTGGTTTTGTTTGTTTGTTTATTTTTCCCCCAAAGCCTTTGCTACACATCTCAGACAGCCTAGTTCTACCCAGGGGCATGGTTTAAAGTTTAAAGCTGCTTGATTTTTTTATTTTTATAAGTGAAAGTTCAACAGGGAAGGCAAAGAGAAGCAGCCCAAAAAGCTTGATGTGAAACATCTCAGGCTGAAAGCCCTTTAGCTCCTCAGAGCTGAAAGCTGGGGATGGCTGACCCCAAGATCTTGCTGGGATCATGGGGAGCAGCTCATTGCAGTCCTGTGGGTCCTCCCAACGCTAAGACACATAGTCTCCTATAGATAAATAACCACTATTCATGCAGTTTTTGTTCCTCCCCACGTTCTCCCCTCTGACTGATGGTGATCCCCACCCCGCAGGTGCCATCCCTGCAGTCACACTGGTTCTGCAGGCTTCATCTTCTCAATCAGGGAAGGGTGGTGTGTCCCCCAGTGCCACCAGCCCCAGACTGGGTGGGATGTTGTGAGAGAAGTCTGGTTTAATTTTGTCCCTCGAGGACTGAACCTCCGCAAAAGCTTGCTGGAAATTAGGCTGCCCCAGAGCCTTGGGGCAACACAAGCAAACTGTTGTCTGCAGAGAGCCTCTTGATGTCTCTCATCCTTGCCTCGGTCAGATGTCCTACTTCTGGCTCAGCCTGAGGCAGAGGACTTGAAATGGGAGAAGAGATAGCAAGCGGGGTCATGGGGATCAAGGACCAGCATCGTCACATCTCAACACCAGCTGAAGGAGGAGGCAGCAGAGGTAGGAAGGAGGAAGAAGAGAGGACAGGAACCCACCCAGCACTCTCCCAATACCTGGAAAGCATCCGGGCTGCTGGCTGCTGGAGAGAGCTGCATAGACTGGCGGCGAGACTGAGCAGAGTACTCCGAGTCCAGCTCGAAATCAAAGGGATGGACAGACAGCAGGCGCTTTGTCTTGCGCATCTTAGGCAGCGGAGGGAGTACAAGAAAGGAAAATTCACCATAAAACACAGTTGACCTCGGAAGAAAGGGGGAGAGAGAGGGCCCTTGTCTCCCTGGTTGGCCTGAGCCTGCACAGCCCAAAGCAAGGCTCCTGCTTTTTGCAGAGGAAATTTGTGTCCCATGTTGTCCCCGTTTGCAGGGAACCTGGTGTATAGGGCAGTGTGTGCTTATGGTGGAGTCAAGGAAAAGTGGATTCCTGATTTCCACAGTCTTTGGCTCAGAACTGTGGCCACGAGCAGAGAGAAGCTCTCTCCTGGTTTATAAAGGCACTGTGGGAAAGCCGAGCCAGGTTACAGCTCAGAGAGAGATCCAGGAGGTGCTTTTGAGTACTGAAGCATCTCCCTGTCTTCAGAGAAAGGGATGCCGTGGGCAAATCTCCCCAGATATTTTGGAGGCCATCCTTGGGGCAGGAGCAGCTTGTACAAGCCTCGAAGACTTGAGAAGCAGATCAAAATGAGTTGCCAAGTGTGTGAAATGCAGCACATATCCATGGCCACAGATGGTATGTATGTAACAGCATGTATACCAGCTACACCAGCATTTCAAACACACTGGCAGGTTTCACACATGCTTCAAGAATAAATACGCTTTTCTCATCAGGCTTCTTAATCTGCATTTCAATCTCCACACATCATCCCAGGAAAAAAAAAAAAAAACAACAGTGAAAAAATCAATCAACAAATCAAAAAAAAAATCAATGAACTCAGCTGTGCTTTGCTACTCTACCAGGTATCTCTTAAAGTTCATAGAGTCATAGAGTTGTCCAGGCCGGAAGGGACCTCCAAAGGTCATCTAGTCCGACCTCACCGCAGTCAGCAGGGACACCCCCAACTAGCCCAGGTTGCCTCCCTTTGAATATCTCCAGGGATGGGGCCTCAACCAACTCCATGGGCAACCTGTTCCAGTGCTCCACCACCCTCTTCTTCTAGTGAAAAAAAAGCCTGGTGGGTTCTCAGTATCCAAGTAGGTGCTGGGACTTTTATATTAATTAGGGACTTTCACACTCTCAGGAGTGCATCTTGTGTTCCAGAGGGCAAGTATCTCTGAATTTACTGGCTTGGTTGTTTCTATGCAAACCGGGAGAGGGGCTCGTCTCAGAGAAGGAAAACAGAGAGAAAGGCCCCGTTTTGACCATGACACAGAAAGCCACCCCCATCACCAGCACCGCCACCGCTACCCAAGGCAGGCCAGCAGCAGCTGGGGGCACACAGTGAGGCAGGAGGGAACCCCTCACAAAACGCTTACTCTGCTGTAGCACTCTGCTTCAGCTCCACGAAGGACGTCGTCTTCATCATCGCTGTCATCCCCAATGCCACCACTGGTGAGGAGCTGGCATTCACCTGGAAGGGAGACAGTGTCACGCTGTGTATGGGCAGCTCCTGTACCATAATCCCATGGGAGGTAAGTCCCCACCGTGGTGGTCACCCCAGTGCATCTGCAGATGAGGCCATCCTTCTTATATGGGATGAAAAGGGCCTCCCCACATTTTATTTTTTCCTTTTTTTTTAATTTTTTTTTTTTTTGGCACACTACACCACGGCCAGTAGGTTGCACAAGTAAAGCAAAGGGGACAAAGGGGATAGGAAACGGATGGGAACACCTTAAGGCAGCCTCAGTGCTTGCAACTCAGGGAGTTGGAGAGATTGAGAAGGTCTCTCCTCAGCCTCCTTTTCTCCAGGCTGAACACCCCCAGCTCCCTCAGCCTCTCCTCACAAGACTTGTGCTCCAGACCCCTCCCCAGCTCCCTTGCCCTTCTCTGGACCCACTCCAGTCCCTCAATATCTTTTTTGTGGTAAGGGGCCCAAAACTGGACATAGCACTCAAGGTGGGGCCTCACCAGTGCCCAGGACAGGGGGACGATCACCTCCCGAGTCCTACTCACCACAGGCTGGGATGCTGTTGGCCTCCTTGGCCACCTGGGCACACTGCTGGCTCATGTTCACCCAACAGTCCACCAACACCCCCAGGTCCTTTTCTGTCGGGCAGCTCCAGCCACTCTGCCCCCAGCCTGGAGCGCTGCAGGGGGTTGGTGTGACCCAAGGGCAGGACCTGGCACTTGGCCTTGTTCAACTTCATCCCATTGGTCTCAGCCCATCCATCCAGCCTGTCCAGATCCCTCTGCAAAGCCTTTCTACCCTCCAGCAGATCGACACTCCCACCCAACTTGGTGTCATCTGCAAATGATCTGCAGTGTAGATCCATCCCATCTCCATCTGCAGTGGAGAGATGTCCTCCCTGGTCCAGCCACACCAAAGTGTGCTAGAGTGCCCATAGCCAGAGGGTGTGAAGACATTGGAAACCTCTCTTGAACTGTAAGCCACACGCTGCAATTCTTTTTTACTCACTGTTAATGTCTGGCAGGCTGTAAACTCTGTCATGAAGACCTAAACGAGAAGAAAAATAGTGGGAAAAATAAGCAAGCACATTTTCTCCAGGTACCTTGCAGAGAACAAGCCTCAGAGCTATGGTTAACTGGAATTCTCATTTTCTAGCCATCACAAGGCCCAACCATCAAAAAGGCTCTTTAGAGAGAACCAAACAGGCACGTGGAGACAGGACTTGACTTTTAAAAGCCAAAGAGCTTATTGCCACCTCTTGATGCAGCACACCTGGGAGGGCAGCAGCAGGGGAAGGCCCAGCCAAGAGCAGGTGGCCTCGCTAAATGGAATGGTCTCATGTAATTCTGCTCTACCTTCTGCAACCACAGACACCTCCCAGGTGGAGATGCTTGCTTGCTCAAGGGTCAAGCCAATTCACTGGTGTTAATGAAGTAATTACAACAAAATCACCTCTTTCTGAAAAAGACATCAGAATCTCAATTTAAAGACACCTAAAGCGCTGTTATCCTCGCGCTTGGTTTGTTGCTGGTGTTTTTCTTTTCTCATATTGTCCTTTCTGTGTGGTCTGATGCACTTTCAGATTGAACACAACATAAATTGTCTCTCAGTCCATTAATTTTATAGTCAGTGCCACTACTCTCCATGCTCTTTCTGATATTTCTGCCATGAGTGGTCTGGATAAAAGAATGATTGGACCAGCTGAGTCAGCTCATCTCTATGGTATTTGTGCAAACTTTTCTGTGGCTCCTCAAGATGGGAATAAAATCCACACTGGTTTTCAGAGGCAATAAGCAAAGCAGTGCAGGAGCTGTACGAGTGCCAACTAGCAACTACTCAGTAAATAATACTATATTAACAGCTTTCAGTATATATTTATGCGCTATTGGGCCAATCTCAGAAATAGCGAAGATCCATAAACTCTGAGGAACATAGCTACGATGACAGCTAACTCGCTAATTTTGGTACAGTTTTGTCAGTGCCAGAGCATCATCAGATTGGCTATAAAAATCATTAGATCATGGGAAAAAAAATGAGTGCTGGCTTTATCCAGGCAGCTGGATGTTTTGGACCTGCAGGGTAAACCTGGGTTAATTTCACAAGCTCTCCCTTGTGATGAAAAGAGCGAAAAGAATCACAGAATCTCAGAATCATATGGGGTTGGAAGGGATTTTCAGAGATCATCTAGTCTAACCCCCCTGCCAAAGCAGGGCCACCCACAGCAGGTCCCACAGGAACGTGTCCAGGTGGGGTTTGAATGTCTCCAGAGAAGGAGACTCCACCACCTCCCTGGGCAGCCTCTGCCAGGGCTCTGCCACCCTCACAGGAAAGAAGTTCCTCCTCATGTTGAGGTGGAACTTCTTCTATTCAAGTTTGTGCCCATTTCCTCTTGTCCTGTCCCTGGGCATCACTGAAAAAAGACCAACCCTATCCTCTTGACACCCTCCCTTTAACTCTTTATAAGCATTGATCAGATCCCCCCTCAGCCTTCTCTTCTCCAGACTAAAAAGACCCAAGTCCCTCAGCCTCTCCTTGTGAGAGAGATGCTCCAGGCCCCTCATCATCTTTGTAGCCCTCTGCTGGACCCTCTCCAGCAGTTCCCTGTCCTTCAAAAAAAAAAGAAAAACAAGAGCTCTAGCTCTTACATACTTATGAACTGCAGGACATGAGACTTTTAAAACCAAGCACAAGATATTCTCAAGTCTGTGGTAAAACATTAAACCTTAACAGAGGAAAAAAAAAATCCACCCAGAACAGCAGCTCTGCTGCTCCCAGTTATGAACACGCTGCTTCAAACCTCTCCTTTCACCCCAAAATGTTCTAAATGGTCTCAAAACCACACTCAGAGCGGCATCGACACCGGCGTTCCTCCCTTGGTGCACATCTCAAGGTGGTGCTGCACGGACACCCCATGCACAGCATGGCAGGAGAAGCTCCTCCTCACCTAGGAACGTGGAGTTGACCCCCTGCCCGGGCTGCAGCCTGCCGTAGAGGGACTGCAGCACTTTGGCACTTCCAAACCTCTTGAAACGGGATCGCACGTGTTCGTAGTACCACTCCAGGGAACCGATCTTCACAATCCTGCCCAAAGAGAGGAGGCACGTACAGGTGAGCCAGCCCAGCCACGCTCACGGGGACCCGACCCTCACCCAGAAACTGTCCCCGGCAAAAACACAGCCTGTTTTCTAAACAGCATAGAATCATAGAATGGTCAGAGTTGGAAGGGACCTTCAAGATCATGGAGTTCCAACCCCTCTGCCCTGGGCAGGGACACCTCCCACCACACCAGGTTGCTCCAAGCCCCATCCAGCCTGGCCTTGAACCCCTCCAGGGATGGGGCAGCCACAGCTTCTCTGGGCAACCTGTTCCAGTGTCTCACCACCCTCACAGCAAAGCATTTCTTCCTGGTATCTCATCTCAATCTCCCCTCTTCCAATTTAAAACCGTTGCCCCTTGTCCTGTCACTGCACTCCCTGACAAAGAGTCCCTCCCCAGCTCTCCTGGAGCTCCCTTCAGATATTGGAAGGCTGCTCTGAGGTCTCCCTGGAGCCTTCTCTTCTCCAGGCTGAACAACCCCAGCTCTCTCAGCCTGTCTTCACAGCAGAGGTGCTCCATCCCTCTGGTCATCTTGGTGGCCCTCCTCTGGACCCGTTCCAACAGGTCTATGTCCTTCCTGTGATGAGGACTCCAAAGCTGGACACAGTGCTCCAGATGGGGTCTCACCAGAGCAGAGTAGAGGGGTAGAATCACCTCCCTCGACCTGCTGGCCACACTTCTCTTGATGCAGCCCAGGATGGGGTTGGCTTTCTGGGCTGCCAGCGCATGTTGCCGGCTCGTGTTGAGCTTCTCATCCATCAACACCCTCAAGTCCTTCTCCTCAGGGCTGCTCTCCAGCCATTCTCCACCCAACCTGTATTTGTGCCTGGGACTGCCACGTCCCAGGTGCAGGACCTTGCACTTTTCTTGGTGGAACTTCAACCAAGCATACTGGACTTCAACCGGCATAACTGTTTTCTAACCAACATTAAAGAGATACTGAGTTTGGGTGACTCTTCTCGAGCCTCAGCCCCAAGGCTCACCTTGCCCCTGACCCTCCATCACAGCAGTGGTACCTGGAGAGGCGGCAGGGATCACAGACCCATCCTTGCTCCTTCTTGTTGTAGCGACTGCAGTTCTTGCAGGTGTAGAAGTGGCAGTCCAAGCACTGGCGCTTGCTGTTCAGCAGGAACTTGAAGGGCTGGAGGCAGTGGACGCAGTGGGTTTCGTTGAGGTGGGACTGATTCGTCAGAAACTCTCTCTTGCTGCTCTCCCGGTCGATCTTGCATTTCAGTTCCCTGCAGAAAACATCCCCAAAAACACAGAAACTTGGTTTTGTTAGCGTTTCACTGCAAACTCTCACGTGGCAAATGCCACCACGCTTCCATCATCTCACAACAATTTTCCAGGGAAGATCCGGAGTCCCGTGGTTTGTGGAAACAGCTGTAGGGCAAATCTAATAAAGAACATATCACAAGTTAAATGAGCTGAGCAAAGAAGGCGGCTCCAGATTCGGGGCAGGTTTACTGTACATTAGGATCTGCCAGTGTTAAATTCAAGATTAGATTTGCTTGTGTCAACACCTGTCCCATTTGCTTCAACAGGGTAATAATCATAAATCCCAGGAACCTCAGGGGAGCAACTCCTGAAGTCTCATCTGCATCCCAACACGATCTCTGAGCCTCAAGTCCATCTTTGGAATGAAAAGCTTTCCAGAATTCTCAATTTTTAAAAAGCAATCAGAGTAAAAAGGATTAAAAAGGGTTTTGATCTAGCCCTTTGGTGGTAAATTCAGCACAGAATTGCATTAAGGACAGAAGGGATGTGGAGTGGGGCTGTCCAAAGAACAGCAGCTGGAGGAAATGCTCATGACAGTCCTGTGAAAATGCGATGGACATGAGTGCTTCCCAAGACCACCTTTCTTCGACTCAAGTTTGTGCCCATTTCCTCATGTCCTGTCCCTGGGCACCACTGAAAAAAGACCGTCCCCATCCTCTTGACACCCTCTCTTTAAATTCACTTGTCAAGGAGGATTTTGCTTTTGTCTTCACTGGTAACTTGCCTGTTAGAGAGTGGAACGTGCATGGTTTTTTTCCTTACAACCTCCAGTTGAAAATGTTGCAGCATTGTAGCAAAATCCCTGACTGTTCTGTTAGCAAAACAGGCGATTCTGTAGCTCTGTTAAAAATGTCTGAAATGTATATTTCCATAGCTGTTTCTGAAATTCCACTGACACTGTAGAGGGTCTCAGCACGGAGACAAAAAGGAGACTGGGAGAGCTGGGGTGCTTGGGATGATTTCAAAGAATAGAGAGCTTTCTGGCGTCTGTTCTTTTAATTGTAAATCTGCTGCTGAATTTTGCAGTGGAACAGCTGCCTTGTCTTGTTGCTGAATAGAAGCATGGAGATCTTGAGTGCATGAGGGAGCACTTGGGATCTTTTACACTGATAAAGAAGAAATTTGGAAGTGTAAGCTAATTGCATTAGTTAATTAGTTCAATTAAAGTTTAACCAGTGAAACAATAAGTGTCATCGTTTCAGTGACAAACATCAGTGCAGCGTGTGGACCGTTCATAAATCACAGCCATGGTTATCAGTTGCAGGGAGACCTTCCTTTTCCAGGTGCCACTTTTATAGAACTACAGAATGGTTTGGGTTGGAAGGGACCTTAAAGCCCCCCCAGTGCCCCCCCCTGCCCTGGGCAGGGACCCCTCCCACCACACCAGGTTGCTCCAAGCCCCCTCCAACCTGCCCTTGAACCCCTCCAGGGATGGGGCAGCTACAACCTCCCTGGGCAACCTGTTCCAGGCTCTCACCCCCCTCACAGCAAAGAATTTCTTCCTGGTATCTCATCTCAATCTCCCCTCTTCCAATTTAAAACCGTTGCCCCTTGTGCTGTCACTGCACTCCCTGACAAAGAGTCCCTCCCCAGCTCTCCTGGAGCTCCCTTCAGATATTGGAAGGCTGCTCTGAGGTCTCTCTGGAGCCTTCTCTTCTCCAGGCTGAACAACCCCAGCTCTCTCAGCCTGTTTTCACGGGAGAGGTGCTCCATCCCTCTCATCATCTTGGTGGCCCTCCGCTGGACCCGTTCCAACAGGTCCATGTCCTTCCTGTGTTGAGGACTCCAGAGCTGGACACAGTGCTCCAGGTGGGGTCTCATGAGAGCAGAGCTGAGGGGCAGAATCCCCTCCCTCAACCTGCTGGCCACACTTCTCTTGATGCAGCCCAGGATGTGGTTGGCTTTCTGGGCTGTCAGCACACATTGCCAGCTCATGGTGAGCTTCTCATCCACCAACACCCCAAAGTCCTTCTCCTCAGGGCTGCTCTCCAGCCATTCTCCACCCAACCTGTATTTGTGCCTGGGACTGCCACGTCCCAGGTGCAGGACCTTGCACTTTTCTTGGTGGAACTTCAACCAAGCATACTGGACTTCAACCAGCATAACTGTTTTCTAACCAACACAAAGAGATGCTGAGTTTGGGTGACTCTTCTCGAGCCTCAGCCCCAAGGCTCACCTTGCCCCTGACCCTCCATCACAGCAGTGGTACCTGGAGAGGCGGCAGGGATCACAGACCCATCCTTGCTCCTTCTTGTTGTAGCGACTGCAGTTCTTGCAGGTGTAGAAGTGGCAGTCCAAGCACTGGCGCTTGCTGTTCAGCAGGAACTTGAAGGGCTGGAGGCAGTGGACGCAGTGGGTTTCGTTGAGGTGGGACTGATTCGTCAGAAACTCTCTCTTGCTGCTCTCCTGGTCGATCTTGCATTTCAGTTCCCTGCAGAAAACATCCCCAAAAACACAGAAACTTGGTTTTGTTAGCGTTTCACTGCAAACTCTCACGTGGCAAATGCCACCACGCTTCCATCATCTCACAACAATTTTCCAGGGAAGATCCGGAGTCCCGTGGTTTGTGGAAACAGCTGTAGGGCAAATCTAATAAAGAACATATCACAAGTTAAATGAGCTGAGCAAAGAAGGCGGCTCCAGATTCGGGGCAGGTTTACTGTACATTAGGATCTGCCAGTGTTAAATTCAAGATTAGATTTGCTTGTGTCAACACCTGTCCCATTTGCTTCAACAGGGTAATAATCATAAATCCCAGGAACCTCAGGGGAGCAACTCCTGAAGTCTCATCTGCATCCCAACACGATCTCTGAGCCTCAAGTCCATCTTTGGAATGAAAAGCTTTCCAGAATTCTCAGTTTTAAAAAAGCAATCAGAGTAAAAAGGATTAAAAAGGGTTTTGATCTAGCCCTTTGGTGGTAAATTCAGCACAGAATTGCATTAAGGACAGAAGGGATGTGGAGTGGGGCTGTCCAAAGAACAGCAGCTGGAGGAAATGCTCATGACAGTCCTGTGAAAATGCGATGGACATGAGTGCTTCCCAAGACCACCTCCTTCTGGTGGTCGGTCACTTCAGGCTTCCTTTGCTCTCCAGACCTGGCTGTTGGAGCAGGTCCCCACACAGGAAGGTGCCTGTGTGAGGTCGAACCCCGAGTGACAACAGCCAAAAAGCCTGCCCAACTGGTGGGGGCCTGCTGAGATACCCAAAGGCTTTCTATTTGTTCCCCATGCCACAGAGAATCACAGAATCCCATGGGGTTGGAAGGGACCTCTGGAGATCATCTAGTCCAACCCCCCTGCCAAAGCAGGGCCACCCACAGCAGGTCCCACAGGAACGTGTCCAGGTGGGGTTTGAATGAGAAAGAAAAACAAGAGCTCTAGCTATTACATACTTACGAACTGCAGGACATGAGACTTTTAGAACCAAGCACAACATATTCTCAAGTCTCAAGTGGTAAAACCTTAAACCTTAAGAGAGGGGAAAAAAAATAATCCACCCAGAACAGCAGCTCTGCTGCTCCCAGTTATGAACACGCTGCTTCAAACCTCTCCTTTCACCCCAAAATGTTCTAAATGGTCTCAAAACCACACTCAGAGCGGCATCGACACACTGGGCCAAAAAAAAATAATAATATCTCAAGTGATCCAGTTTGGAGGCTGCTTCAGGAGCACAGAGTGGATCACAAGGCTTCTGGTGATGCTCCTGGTGCCCCCCAGCCACCAGGGAGACGGGCTGACGCCGGGGTGACTGCAGGAGGAGCCTGGCTGGCGTGGCAGCGCGGTGCCAGGACGCCCATGGGAGCAGTGGTGTGGCTGGTGGTGGGAAGGACATGAATGTAAATCTAGCTAATCTCTGTTTAACGAAATCACTGTACACATTAGGGATCAGCTCTTGGTTTTGTTTTGCTTTTTTTTTTTCCAGTGGGAGACTTTTCTTACCAGCTTGCTGCCAGCACACCAGGCTGAATTTGCTCTTACACTGGGGTGACACCAACTTGGATTAACCAAGGCTCTGAGACATGTTAAAATCAGTATAAATATTGGTATAAACCTGGGCAGCTAGGTTTTATATTCAGCTATTCCACCACACTAGCAGTGTTTCTAATGCCCTAGTGCAAACGTTCAGTGGCAAATTTGTACGTGGCTACAAAAAAACCAAACCTCCAAAGAGAAAACCCTCGGGTTGGGCTCGGTTCTCCCTTTCCCCTCCTGTGCTAAGGCTGTTTCCAGCAGGATCTGTTCTTTCACTGGACTGCTTTTTCTGGTTCCCCAGAGAGCAGCTGGATTCCTTCACCTCCCTTCCCTGGCCCGCGAGACCTGCTGAAGGAAGGACAAGTCTCAGCCAAACCAGTTTAAAACCCGCAGGAACCACATGCCTCTTGTCTCCTCCTGCCAGCCGGAGCACAAGCCCCAGCCCTTTCCCTGCTCTGCTCACGGGGCAGAATAAATCAAGGGTGGTGGGATGCCAAACGGTGGTGGGTTTGGTCCAGCTGAGCTCCAGGAGAGACGCAGGGAGCCATCCCCCAAACACAGGGCTGCTGGCATGGGTATTTATGGAAGGAAGCAGGGAGAGCCCCCATAAAGTGGCCATTATTTAATGCCTCGGGCAAAGCATTACCCTCGCATGGCTGTGCAGCTTCTGGCCAGCTGAAGCCTTTGTCCATTGTTGGGGAACAGCTTCTGCCAAAAAGAAAAGTGCAGAGAAGCAGTAGAAAGAGAAGAAAAAGACCAAGGAGGGGGGAACATGTCTTCGAGGCTTGCAGGTTGAGACAAGCCCAGTGAATAGAAAAGCCAATGAATAGAAAAAAGCAAATGAGGGTGGTCAGAGCACAGGGTGAAGGGCTGCAGGGTCTCCCGTGGACCCAGACAAGCCAGTCTGGCGCCAAGGCCAAGTAGATAAGGAATTCACCTCACCCACTGCTTTGCTGCAGGGCACGGCGATGGGATGGTCCCCACCTCC